TTATCAGCCACCGTGTAAACATCTCCAGGTCAAGAGTGCGGAAAATTCCAGAACATTAATCAAGCAAGGCTGAGATATCATAAATGAGTGATGGCTGGATATTTACATGGCTCAAGGAGTTTGAGCCAAATGGGTCAAGTAATTTTGGATAGGAAGCCAAGATGACAGCCATGAAGTTCTTAGATCTCCACAATTATTGCAAGGATTTTTAACTAAACTTTATGTATTCACCAATTAGGAATAATTCAAAGCTATTTGTATAATGCCCGTATTTTTTGTCCACATACATTATCTTTTATAAAAGAATTTGCCTAATTTAATACAGACCAAAAATTATGTTCGTAAATGAATTTCCGTTTTTGAGATGTATTTAAAATGTAAGTACATGTTTATTACATTTGAAGATACTAAACCTTTTATTTCGATCTGTTTCTAATAGTTTAGGTAGTTTTTACCACAAACTGTATTTTATGGTCCATTGCTCTTCTTATCTCTTTATCATGTTAATGAGTTAACTTGTTTTATAATATTTTTTGCGTCCATAGACTTATATCCAAGTATAATTTTAATTCAATTATTAATAAACTGTTATTGGTGTAAAATATGTTTTTAAGGCATAATTGACTAGGCTTTTATTATCAGTATACTTTCGCTTGAGTCATCAACCTATCTAACAATACCTATTAATATATTGACATCAAGATTAGCAATAAAAAGATATTATAAAATACTTATTAGATAAAAGAAATGATGTTGAAGAGATCTAACACTTTTGCAAGTATTCGTTTAAATGAAACTAATATTATTTATACTACGCGTATATTATTATTATAAACTACATATTCCCGGCGTTCCGGTTATTTTTCTGTAACCGTGATCACGGACAGACAAATTGTTATGACTCAATGTTTCTTGACCTAATGAGTCTTAAGATGTAGCAGTTGATATAGTGTTTTACAAACGATTCAAAACAGTTTTTTGAAGTATGGCACTGGGAAAGAAATTTTGTGTATCTAAATTACAGTGAATATACTTTTTATTAGAAGTATCAAAAAATACAGAATAATAAAATGTACCAAAATTTGTCTATCAAATGCCTATTTGGGACTAATTTCTTTAAAACCAAATATCCATACAAATAAAATTTATATATTAAATTAACTAAATTTTGCGTTTCAATTTAAAATCTGTATAAATCATTTTCCTAAATACCATTAAAATATTAAATACATAGTTATATGAAAATATTTTTGAATAAGTTATATTAATTTTGGTGAAGGTTTTTCAAGTCATTTTAAACTGTGATGTGGGTGGAATGAAATCGTGTATAACTGGACTTAGAATTAAAATAAATATTATATTAAGTCATATATTAAAATGAATTGCAGTGATAACTCAGATAAATGTAATGTGTTAGTTAAAACTGACATTTCGATTATATTATGACGATTTCTAGTACAATAAAGACATTTTTATATTTTACATTTAATATGATTTTGTCTATCTGAACACTGCATTATAGATTTTTTATTTATATATGGTTCCTATGCATTAAGCTTCTTCCAGATGTTTGTAAGAGAGATAATATAGATTGAAAAAAGCAGGGTTTTAAATTATTTTAAATTACCTGTAAGGATTTTTTTCCAATGCAATTATTATGATCTAATTTACATATGTAATTAAATGTAAGATTTTTATGTAAATATGTTTTTTCTTTATCTTTAATACGGGAGTAGATAGAGATACAGAATTTAATATATTAATGTAATTTTTGGTCCGTATTAAATTAGACAAATTCTTTTATAAAAGTTTATATATTTAAACAAAAAGTACATGAATTATACAAATAGCTTTGAATTGTTCCGACTAAAACTATTTTATATGAAATAATTGATAATTTAATTAATTATTATCATTACCTTATCTCTGAAATTCTATTAATTAATTAAAGAAATTAGAAACGATGAATGCTTGTATGTCCGTTGGATATACATATTATATAATATAAAAATAAAAAATAAACTTTATATATCTTCTTTTTCTACCTGGCAATTTCCCCAGCTTTAGCCAGGGTCTGCCTTAGATGTTATGAAATTATAGTTTTGGCTAATTGTTTTTTACGACCGGTCGCCTGCCTGACATCAACCCTCTTTTTTGGGAATCAGGATTAATCAGTGATGTCTAAATATTCTTAGAAAGTACATATGACTCGGAAAAATCACATTGGTACTTGCTCGGGCCAGGATCGAACCCGCGCCCTAAGCACCGAGAGGCGGGCCCTCTAACCATTAGGCCACCACTGACTTAAAATAGAGATATATATTAGTATATTCATAAAGTTGACAATTGTTTCATCTTTAGGGAAAAGCATCTACAAAAAGAAGTTACATTGGCTTAGATATAAAAATATGCTTTAATTGAAGTCTATAATACATATAATTTCTTTTCAATTAATATGCTATTATAATTATTAGTTTTTGTACATATTCATAAATAAATTATGAAATGTATGTTCAAAATTGTCCTATGCGTTTGATATTCAATAATTTAAAATTGCTAAAGAAAATATTAACAGTTTTATAAATCACGAATGTCACCAGTCTTTGAAGATATGGCCAATGGAATTCGTTTTATATAAACCACTAGTTTACAAGAGTGCAATTATATGAGTTTACTAAAATTTAACATAAAATATTTCGTTAGATCAAAGGATGATATAATTTAGATGAAAACAAGTTTACAGAATTTGACAATAAATTTTAGTGAAGCTATGTATGAGTACATTTAATTTTATTCGTTCGAATTATATGAATAAATGTAATTACGAGAATGAATGTAATTATAGGAATAAATGTAAATCTATTCAAGAGATAAATGAATGATTTTTTCTTAATAATTTAATTTATTTTTATACTAAATTATAATTATAATCTTAGATATTTCGTATTATATCCAATGCCATACCTTTGGTAATCTTCCAACCATTTTCTATTAACGTCAATCATGTGAAATGTTTGGAATAACTTAATTGCGTTTCATTTAATTCATATTTCTATTATGAATTAGTATAAAAGCGAAGATTGTATTCATATATGTATATTTGTTATAAAACGTTCATTTATTTATAGATTTCTATTTAAGGGAATACGCTTCTTGTATTGTAATAGAGTTGTTTAGTCGGTTTTATCACTTTATTCAGAGACGGCAAACTGTCAGTACGTTAGTAATTACGCTTAACACATACTAGATCATAGAATAAAGCATGTTAAGGGAGTATTTTTATGATACATTAGCTTTCCGCCCGCAGCTTCGCCCGCGTCGAGTTCGGTTATCACGTTTCCAAGAGAACCTTTCAAAAGTCTGGGATAAAGACTATCCTATGTTATTTCTCAAGGTCTTCTCTATGTTTGTACCAAATTTCATTAAAATCAATTCAGTGGTTTAGGCGTGAAAGCGTAACAGACAGACAGAGTTACTTTCGCATATATAATATTAGTAGGAATTCGAATAAAAGCGAAGATTCTATTCACTATGTATATTTGTAATAAAACTTTCATTTATTTATATTTAAGAGAATACGATTCTTGTACTGCAATAGACTTGTGTCACTTCATTCAGATACGGCAAACTGTCAGTACGTCAGTAATTACGCTTAACACATACTAAATCTTATAATAAAGCATATTATGGGAGTATTATAATGATATATTATCCTAAATAACTTGTAAATGATTAAATATTGAAATTTCTGTGACAAAATACTGTCGTTAAATCATTTAACGGTCCACATTTCGCGTGGTTCCCTTACTCGAGTCGTCAAATTGTCAGTGGACGGAAATGTCAGTTGTAAATACATCGGCAGATATTCGTTATGCTTTATATTTATGTATTTATAAAGCAACGTATACAATATCGGTTTAAAAAAATAAGCGAGAGTGTAGGTGGGGGTTTGGTCATTTAAAAGAGTAACTGTGGTTTATAATGATCACATATTTGATCCGTAATCAAATGATCAAACATTTTTCATTTGTGTTTAGTACTTACTTTAAAGCTTTTTTTATATCACTCTTGGCCCCTATAGTTCTGTCGACGTAATTTGGGTATTTTTTTAAATTTATATTTTAAAATTTTTTAGGTATTCAATATAAATAAAGTTCCTTATTAAATGATGTGTTAAAACAATTTTACATAAACCATAAATTCAACGTGATAAAAAATAAAATTAATATAATTATATTCCACAGACTATAAATCAATTAGTAATGTTTAGTCTGCGTACAAAAATCGATGATTTAAAATAACCACATATCTCTCAATACATATATCCATAAAATAGTAAAATTTTCTTATATATCGTCCGCATCGTAATAAATATCGTTTCTTATAAAGTTGCCAACAATTTTTATGGTCTGTTATGTCAAAACTATCTCATAAACTGGACATTTTATTCACACTCGCGGTTTTACACTCGGCGACAAGATGACGTAAATGTTACGTCACGTGGTATCGGATTTAAATGTAGTTAATTACGTAAACGTTGGTAATTTTCTGGAAATTATACATTGTGATAGAATTACATTAAATAAAACTTCTCGTATGTTAAGAGAAAGAAAATTAAGAAAATATATTAAAAGTAACAAATTCGGTAGTATTAGGAGAAATTGAGACTTGAAATTATATTTCTCTTACAAATAAATACTTAATGAAATTGTAGTTCCTTATATGTTTACGTTCTTCTAAAAATATTACATTACAAAAATACTCATTCAAATACATACAAATTATAATTTGCAATGAAATACTTAAAATTAAGACTAGACGTAGTAATGTTGATATTGAGTACAATATAGTGAATTTAACACAAATTCTATTTATTGTGTTAATTTCATTCAACACAACACACGCAATGTACACACATTACAGAATCACTAGCTAGCATCATGTTATAACACATAACACACAACATACATGATATATTAGTATTGAAGAGCTAAATAGTTATGGCGTTTATGTCCGGACTCTGGAACTCGATCGTTGGTGGCAACGAAAAGGAAATAGATTGGACGGAAACATCAGTACTGTATTTGGACGAAACAAAGAAATACTTCTCAGTGTCAGAGATTGATAAGGAAGACATACCGATAGTGTTCTCTGAAGGCCATAAGATAACGTTCAACAAAACCGGCCTAGGGTTGTCATATACGCCCCTTAATTTCATCACTATATATCATATAGATACCAGGAAAGGTTTGTGATCCTTGTACAGAAGTTACAACCCTAATTTTGTGAATTTCCCATTTCCTTTAACAGCTTGTAGATTTTGTTCCTTTCCTTAAATTACACGTTGAATCGAAATAATCTAAAACTATTTTTTTTTGGCAGCTGAAGTAAAAATGCCGAGTGGACACATCGATCAGCCGGTGATAGAAGATAACAGGGATGGTACCGTCAGCATCAAATACGATCCAAGAGAGGAGGGAGTCCATGAACTGTACGTCAAATATAATGGAGAGCATGTCCAAGGTACGGTTTACAGCATAATAGATCAAGCATTGCAATAAACAATGTATAATCGTTTTTTGCATTATAGTCCATTGAATTTGATTTGAAATTTCATCTTTGTTATCCTAGTATTTTCGTAATTTAGTATTATATCTTTATTTAAATGAAACTTTATTTTTATAAAAAACTACATACTCCAGAAGTTTCGGTTACTTTTCAGCAACCGTGATCACGGGCTGATGAAATGTGAATCTGTTAGTCTTAGATCTCATTATATTATATATTTCTTAATACCCTTACAGGTTCTCCATACAAGTTCCACGTGGACTCCATCTCCTCAGGGTATGTGACGGCTTATGGGCCAGGTCTCATCAGTGGTGTGAGTGGTGAGCCGAGTCAGTTCACCATTAGCACTAAAGGCGCTGGTGCCGGTGGCTTGTCTATGGCTGTTGAAGGACCAAGCAAGGCTGAGGTGATTTTGGAACATTTAATTAACAATCTAGAAACTTCTTTTAGAAGTAACGATCTCAAAAGTACTTCAAGCGATTGTATATGATGGTGTTATATCTTCTACCTGGCAATTTTCCCAGCTTCAGCCAGGGTCTGCCTTACATAGTTGTGAATAGTTTTGGCTTATTGTTTTTACGACCGGCCGCCTGCCTGACATCAACCTGCCTGCCTGGTGTTATATATAATTTATTAACTTATTCATTGATTGTTTTAGATTACATGTCACGACAACAAAGATGGTACGGTGTCTGTGTCTTTCCTGCCAACAGCTCCTGGGGAGTACAAAATATCGGTCAGGTTTGGAGATAAGCATATCAAGGGATCTCCATTCGTATCCAAGGTTTGGAAATTGATACTTATACTTATTCTGTAGGCATGTGATTTAGAAAAGTTATATTGTATTACAAGAAGTTTTGTATAATTTTATTATCTCTGAAAACTAAGACAATTGTGATAATATTTTAAACATATAGCGTCAGAGTAATATTATAGTGTGAAATATGTTCAGAGAATATGAATTTTTAATGAGGAATATTACAATTAACTTGATTTCTATACATTTAAATTTTAGTCAACACTATCAAAACAGCGGTCTAAACAAATCCGATATATTTTTCTCAAATTTCATTTTTCCTTAGACTAAGATTATTTCAAGATTAAACATTTTTACTTGTTATTATAATATGAATCTTCACAAACGTAATAACTAACAGACTTTATAAACTAATGTAAATATTCATCAAATTTTAGGTGACAGGTGAAGGTCGCAAGAGGAACCAAATCTCAGTGGGAAGCTGCAGCGAGGTCACGCTCCCGGGCAAGATCAGTGACAATGACATCCGCAGCCTCAACGCTTCCATTCAGGTACTTCCTAGTTAAAACACATTTCAAGGAAATACCGATAGAATTCAAAGTAAATCGTTAGTAGGAGGAATTTATATTTTTTGATTATTTTCTAAGCTAGCTTAATTAATAGAAAAGTTTGATTAGAAATTTTTTTTTTTTTCTTGTTATATGGATTATATTCATTTTAAGATTTTGAGTTGTTTAGACATGATAAGACAAAAATTACATCTCTTAAATATTGTTTTGTCTGATATTTAAGTAATGTTATGAAAAATGTAGAAACTATGAAGTAATACTATGAAAAATGTAGGAAAAATCATTGTAAAGTTCAAAGAAAAATAATTTTTCAGTAAACGGAGTTCCTTCTTTAGCTATTTATACAAAATTACAGAGCCTGTTAACTTATATCCACAAATAATAATTCATAACAGAGGCAAGCAATTTGAGGCCAGAACTTTTTACTGTTTCCTTCTTCTACTATAATATTAAGCAAAATAATAAGCATAACATTAACCTGGAACACAAAATTAGTTTAGTATTTCATGCACGTATGCTGAATACCCCCAAATAAAAATAATCTCAGCCATATCCAATGAAATTTCTTTCTTGGTCAGGCTCCATCTGGTCTGGAGGAACCTTGTTTCCTAAAACGCCTTCCGTCTGGGAACATCGGCATCAGCTTCACACCTCGTGAGGCTGGACAGCATGTGGTAGCTGTCAAGAAGATGGGGGTTCATATCCAGAATTCTCCCTTCAACATCACTGTTCAAGAACAAGAGGTTGGAGACGCGAAGAAAGTTAAGGTATACAAATGATATCTAAGATTTTTGGGAACATTCATTTAAGTGAAACTATTTTTTTCAGATATGCTATGCGTATTTTATTTTATATTTATAGTGTCATATGATATGATATTCCTCTCGTCTGCTCGTGATAACGGTATCTGAAAAGAAACCGAAACATAGGCATTAGGAAGTCATAAAATAATAAAAAACGCGTAGTAATTGAAAACGTTACTTTCATTTACGTGTATGCAGTATATTTACATATTTGTTACCATTTAGATCTGACTATGATTTTATTGGCGATTTTTTATCAACCAAGAAGTAATTAATGCAAGCTAGTATAAAGTTGTAGGAGCATAACATTCAGTCGAAGTTTTTTTTAATCTTTCACTGGATATTCCGTCTATTATTCTTAGTTGTGTCATTTTAAATGTAATCTTGATATTTCAAGGTCTCCGGAGCGTCTCTTAAAGAAGGAAAGACCCATGGAGAGAATACCTTCATGGTGGATACAAGGAACGCTGGATATGGTGGTCTATCACTCTCCATTGAAGGTAAGGTTTAAAAAACTCTATCGCTAATATTATGGTATTTTAGTTCCATTAGAATGTAAAACATTAAATAATAAATAAAGATTTATATATAGAAAAATAACGCTAATAATTTTTTCACGATATATTTTGATAAGTTTAAGATAAATGATTTTAAATTTTATTATATGGGTAACATCGCATTACGTCAGTGATTCCTTAATTTATTTTGTCTAATGCCCACTTTAAGGGGGAAAAAATGGTCTCTTGTCTTTACCTACTTAAAAACACTAGTAATTATGCCATAAAACGAAATTGGAAACCCTTTCCACAAGACCCCATTTTTTCTTGGTCTCTAACTTCCTCCTTTAGGCCAGCAGAGTCCACAAGCGAACGTTATTGCTTACTTTAAAAAAGGCTGTACTAGGTCATACATATTTTTATCTTCTAATATTGAATCTGTTCAAGTCAGATCACAAACAGCAGCAGTTTATTCCTTATTCTTGAATTCTTTTCCTAATATTTTCTAACTTCTTCATCACTTGTACCCAGGTCCAAGCAAGGCGGAGATCCAATGTGCTGACAGTAAGGACGGCGTGCTCGCTATCAGCTACAAGCCAACTGAGCCCGGATATTACATCATCAACCTTAAGTTCGCTGATCACCACGTGGAAGGATCACCTTTCACTGTCAAGGTATACATGACTTACAAATAGGATAGTATGAAAACATGTAATATTATAGCCCGTGAATTTTGAATTATTTAAAAAAAGATATTAAACTGAACTTTATTTAAATTTATTAATTCTATATATATGGAAGGAAGTTGTGTTAGTTTCAATATTTATAACTCAAGAACGGCTCTAGGGATATGGTTGAAGATTGGTTCAGAGATAGATTAGAACAAAAGAGGGACATAGGATATTTAATTTGGTTCGATACATAGCAAAAGAAAAAAAGACTTAATAAATTCCAATACCTAGTTATTTACGGCCTTTATGGCGTAATAGAATTCGCCCGGTCAGCTATACATACATTAATAATTTCGAAATTAACGCGAACAAAGTCGCGGACATTATTAACTCAATATGTTCTAACACAACCAAATCTTTTGTAATCCAAAAGTAAGGCACATAGTAACAACTTAATTTTTGTTCCGTCAAACAAATCTTGGTCCACATCTTCATTTCCATAATAATTCTAAGGCTTTATCCATACTAATTCTGTCTCTTATACTTATTACTTAACTAGGTTACTGGTGAGGGCAGTAATCGTCAGCGTGAGAAGATCCAACGTCAAAGAGAGCCAGCACCTCTCACTGAAGTCGGCACTAACTGCAAGCTGACCTTCAAGATGCCCGGTAAGCAGTTCCAGCGATTTACAGCAGATTTTTCAGCTCCTAACTGATTTCTATAGGAATTTTGATGGATAATTAATTGAAGCGTTGTAGCGATTAAATCCTTTTATATTGAAGCACGAGTGTTGTTATAAATTTATAATTAGATTATTTTTGTACCTGGATTTTGGTTCAATGTGTATGCATATATGTTGGAAATTATAAAAAAAATATTAAAACGATTTTTTAACCTTTTATAAATTTCATTATAATTGGAAGCTTTATAAATAAATTATTTTTGTATTGTTACGAAGCATTTATGTATTTTTTGATAGTATGAAAAACGGCTTAATAAAAGTAATTTTTATAGACCCTGGATATGCTGGTTCAGTGTAATTATTAAGAAAATGTTTGTTCATATTCATTATATTTTTCAAGATATTTTCATTTCGAGACATCTCGAATTATTTAGAAATAATTCCTGATTATTGGAAAAATTTAGTATTTATAGATAAAAAAATCTTAAGACAAAGACAAATGATTATATTTAAGTATTAAAATTATATTTTTACAACTAAATTACTTTCAAGTGTATTGCAGTTTAAGAAAGTTTGTTGGAACCTTTATAAATTCGTACCAACTCAATGTTAGCGTCAAACCATACATTGTTTTAAATAGCAATATTTTATTTTGACAAGTGCGTGAGATTTTAATTATTATCTGGTTAAATTTTACTTCACATACACCAAAAACATAATTTTGTAATTGCTATTAGGAAAGAAATTATAGCTGCTGTTAATTCATTTCATATTTTTATAATTATTATTTATAAATTTCTTTTATTCACTTTTATTTATTCTGTTTTCAGTATTCAACTTGTTTAAGTTAATATTAGGTCAATTCTTTTGGACAAGGCATAAAAACGTAAACAATTTTCTTCCTAATTAGTTTTCAAGCACTTGACGGCATTTAAATAGCACTCTTAATGCATGATAACTAATATTCTACGGACAATATTCAAGTGATTTGACGTTGAAATTTTTTTAAAAGGATCCACAAGACGATATTAAATAAATCGTACAACCCTTATCGATATTATTCCATCTTGAGTTATATGTAAATATAACAAACGAATATTATATCATTAACCGATAGAAATATACTTTAAATCAATTTAAATACAAAAAAGTTTTCTTTAACGTGAGAAAAGTCGTAAAAAAGCCTATACATATACATATACATATGTATGTAATATTTAATTCCCTCCTCATGTGAGAAGAGATTTTCATTGCTCAGTAATGGGCTCTGATAGGCTGATGATGATGATGAAATACAAATAGAATCTGTTAATGCGATAAGCCGTAAAAAAGCCTACATATATGTAACATTATATATACTTCCTCCCTCACGTGAGAAGAGGCCTTTGCTCAGCAATGGACTCTGATAGGTTGATGATGATGATGATGATAAATCAAATATTAAGCTATCATTAATATTCTGTCCAGGTATAACGTCCTTTGACCTGGCCGCCACAGTCACAAGTCCGGGGGGTGTATCTGAAGACGCTGAAATCCAGGAAGTCGAAGATGGATTATACTCAGTACACTTCGTACCCAAGGAGCTCGGAGTACACACGGTGTCTGTCAAGTACAGGGAGATTCATATACCTGGTGAGAATTGCTATAGATTAAGGAATTCCTAAAGAAATTTCAAAATTTACTTAAAAAACGATTAAGACCCATATATTAGATGATTTCACTGATCTTGTTTAATATCACTACTGTTTATTATTTGTAATCTTAATTGTAGTTATAATTTTTAAAATTTCCTTTGTAAGCGAACTTTGTTCTTTTTGGAAATAAACTTCTTTAAACCTAAACTTCTAGATTAGGTTCAAGAGCTATTATGGTTAGGGCTCACAAAATGAGATTTAAGACTTTCGCGAGTATATGAAACGAATATTTTTGCAGAAATACTACGCGTGCTTTATTTTTGTATAAAACTATATACTCCCGACGTTTCAGTTACTTTTGTTACGAAAAATAGTAGTTTCACATAAATAGTTAATTTCTTCTATGAGTTCTGAGACCAAAAATTTTTTCTACTCTTTTTTTAACTGTCTCTATTTGCTCTTCTTTTTGATGATCTGTATATGAAAAATAATAAGTAGCTGACAAGATCTTTTCTTAATTTATTCTTCTTTCTTTCCAGGATCTCCATTCCAGTTCACAGTTGGTCCACTTCGTGATTCCGGCGCTCATCTCGTTAAGGCTGGTGGAGCTGGTCTGGAGCGTGGTGAGGCTGGGAGGTTCAATGAGTTCAATGTGTGGACCAGGGAGGCTGGGGCCGGACAACTGGCTATCTCTCTTGAAGGACCCAGCAAGGCTGAAATAGACTTCAAAGATAGAAGAGATGGCTCCTGTGACGTGTCATACAAAGTTGATGAACCAGGTCAGTTGAAACATATTAAGTAACTAGAGTTCGGTTGTATCGCGTTTTCAAGAGAACTTTTCAAGTCTAGGATAAAAACTATCCTATGTTCTTTCTCAAGGTCAACTCTATCTCTGTACTGAATTTCATTAAAATCAGTTCAGTGGTTCAGGCGTGAAAGCGTAACAGACAGACAGACAGAGTCGCTTTCGCATTTATAATATTAGTAGGGATTTCTCTCACACAAATTTAGTACATATATAAGAAGAATTAAGTATGAGGAATTTATGTTTTATTTGATTTTAACCTTGTCTTGTAATGTGTATCTGGATTAGAGATCAAATTCGAGAAATTGTTCTCACAAAAAGATCACATCCAATATAGACATTTGAAATTTTAATCACCAAGAACGGGCTGTAAGTTTTTGGATGTTCGGCTTTTTTGTTAATAAGATATAACATCAACTAATCTACACATTTCTCGTACATCGATCACGGTTGTAGTGACTTGCGTACAAACCGACTTGGATAGCAAATAATTCATTTTAAAGCGCTTTATCGTACCCGGATCTGCATCACCAAGTAAAATGGCCCGCCGCCCCGCGGAGCCATAGTCCATGCACCATAAAAAACCCACATAAACAGTGAAATGCACTTCATAAATAAATCGCCCGACTCGTTCCTTATGCGACCGTCCACGCCCCCCGTACCTGTCAACCAATGGTGGCCAATTGACCGCAGCCTCGGCTGAATTTACCGCGGACCATTTTGACAGATCGATTTTTTAAATTTTGTTTTTCTTTTTTTTGCCTCAATGGCCATAGAGATTCTTTTTTTTTAAGTGATAATAGCTGCCGCGTTTTCGGCCAGTGATTACTCGGATTTATTGTATTCGTTTTTGCTAATGTCCATCATAACTCTACGTTGCATTTTTGTTATCTGTAATTTTATGAAGCCATTTTTGATATATATTTCTTTTATATTTTATTAATTGCACCAATCAGCGGATAGCTTTACAATATATTTGAGGATGACCATGAAGGTTATATATATTTTTGTATATTATTTAAACTGTATCAGTTACATATATAATCAGTACGCGCGTCAGCTGCAAGTAATCGCAGTTTAAATGGCGGGGGTTTTGGTATTAGATTTGCTAATTAAGTAATTTACATATTACGACTCAGTTACAACTAAACTGTGTTTAATATACTCGCTAATGGTGTTTTAAGTTAACACACAAATTATTATATAACATTTTATTACAATAATAAATAAAACAATTCTAACTATTAATTATAACTTGAATGTCAAAGTTAATAAATTTTCATTAATTTTTAATGATATACAAAATTTAATTATTAGGCTAATATGCAGGAATCTAAACGGTTTAAAAATAAAAAAAAATAAAAATTATATATAATTATGATTATTATTTTTTAATCTATCATCTAATATCTAACAAGTCGAAAAATTCCGTGCTAGCGCGTCCCGAGTCTAGTTTTTACCCTCTATTATAGCAGCGGTCAATTAAAATGACTCCTAAACACCAAACGCCAAGGAATTCCCGGACCAAAACTAAATTTGTCCTGGCTCCATTGTATTCGTTTCGACCAAAAAAGAAAACCAACCATCCGACAAAGAAGCGGCCCCTTTTTGTCCGCGGATACTTCATAAATGCAATGCGATTAGAAGTTCCTTAACCGTTCCGACAATAATGACTTAGTTTCATTGATTTTCATTGTTATTGTTTCATTTTGTTTGGTGGAAATTGTTTAATATATATATGTATATATGTTTTGAATTTTATATATACATACTATTATAATGTTTCTATAGTTTTGTAGAGCAGTACCGATGTAATAGACGACTTTTTAATTTTAAGCAGAGTATAGAAGAATTTTAAAATGTTTTAACGGTTCAAAAGCCTATAAAATATTCATTGATTTAATATACATACATATATGTTTTTATTGATACATTAAATAATTAAATAACTTTTATATAAATACTGCTTATTTTCAATGAAAGTAAAATTTCTAACAATGTTAAGTGAAGTTTTTGGTTTATAATTTAAGCAGTATTAAATAACCATTTGTCTGGTTAAATATATACATAAATGAAATAAAAATAAAATATAATTATTCTGACATCATGCATTTATTTTATATTTAAAGCCAAAGAAAATATTGATAGATTGATAATAAATTATTCTAAGCTTCAAGTTTCTAATAACCAATATTACTTTTAAATTGAATATTTTAAGTAAATTTAATATAAATTCTTGCTGTTTCTTTACTCTTAATCCAAGTTTTCATCGCTAAACTACATACGTAGCGTTAACAGTATTCCGTTCATGTTTCTTGCATATAGAAAAATGAATCTAGGTTATTAAATGGAAAAACTGAAACGCGTACTATGTATTGAGATGTACAAACTTGTACTAAGCATGTTATAGCTTTATTTAATGTCATTTTGTTCATTTAGTGCAGCTATTAAGACAGAAAATTATTTATAGAAAACAAATCTTTTTTAAGTCTTCTTTTACCTGGCATTTAATTTCCCAGATTTAGCCAGGGTCTGCCTTACATGTTGTGGTTAGTTTTGCCTAATTGTTTTTACGACCGGCCGCCTGCCTGACATCAACCCTCTTTTGGAATACATTAATCAGTGATGTCTAAATACTCTTAGAAAGTACATATGACTCGGAAAAATTACATTGGTACTTGCTAGGGCGAGGATCGAACCCGCGGCATCATGCATGAGAGGCAAGCCTTTTAACCACTAGGCCACCACTGATTTTGACAAAACAAATCTTTTATAAGTATCCGAACTAATTGGAGACAATTCTTTAATGAGATCTTCTCAATTAAGTCGAGAACATACAATGAACCTATAAAATATCTAAACTACTATTTTTTTTGAATTCGGGTCAATAAAATCTCGGAGTCATCGAGCTTTTACGACCTAATTTCTAACCAACCAAAAATACTTTCTTTTATCTTTCCTATGAAAGAAAAAACAAAACAATGGCAGACGTCGGTCAAAGCTACCGACTTGGATCACGGATACGTATCAAGGGCAAATACTTTGAATTTCTTACGATCAAATTTTAATATATATGTATTATTTTATTAAAAATAATAAAATGAAAGTATTAATATATTGACTGATTGATTTAACTTTTGCTTGTGGTAAAAAAATAGGTAATAATTTTGTAAATTTTTTGGAATCTTTTTATTACTTCAGTACATGACATTTAATGAATTCACAGACTTAGTTTTTTTATACATTTTTGAAGTTCTAACTATATGTACTTATAAAATATATAGTGTTTATTATTTATAGTACATATTAATAATTATATGATCTTTTACATATATATGTTACTTAAAATAATTATCTATAGAAATAAAAACATTGTTATATGAAATATTTTGAATACAACTAAGATTTATTAGCAAATATAAAGTTTGGTTACAAAATACACTGTCGTATAATGTTCTACATACAATTTTTTTTTTGAAAGTTAAATAAAAATTAAAATACTTTTTATTTATAATTTATATATAAAATCAGTTATGACAACTTGAATATAATATGTTTTTGCTTCCGAACTTGAATTCACTACAGGAATATCACCGATATTTTGTAAACGAATTAATATATTATTCAACTTGGTTCAATTTAGTTTCTAGTACGAGCAGTTGGAATAGTTTTTTATTAGAAATTTAGTGAGATACGAATAAATATACACATATATATAGAGTTTTTTAACTCTCTGTCTTTAAGTTAATGATAATAAATCTCTCTCACGTATTACATAAGTTTAAGCTCTTATCATCTTCAGCGGTCTTTTTTTAGTCTTTCATAATACACTGACTTCATATTTGATTTAATTTAAATATTAATAACATAATTACATAGAAAAATATATTATTATGCATAAATTTTTAATATTATTACATATTTTGTTATTTTCGTTAAGTTACTCACGTGTAATATATACACAATGAAGTAATAACAAAAATCAAATATTTGAAACACATCCACCTGCGATACAAAAACTGAAAATTTATTGAAACAAAGAGAAAGGATATAGAACCTGTGGCATGTCAACAGTGTAGCGTGTAACATCATTATTTGAATGAACGAAAACGAAGTGGTTTAAGTAATGGTTAAGAAAACATCTTTATTTTTTATTATTCTTTATTATAATTATATCCTTCTACCTGGCAATTTCCCAGCTTTAGCCAGGGTCTGCCTTACATGTTGTAAATAGTTTTGGCTAATTGTTTTTACGACCGGCCGCCTGCTCAGGCAGTATTAGTTTCATGATGTCAGCATCAACCTTCTTTGGGAATCAGCATTAATCAGGGATGTTTAAATACTCTTAGAAAGTACATATGACTCAGAAAAATCACATTGGTACTTGCCAGGACTAGGATCGAACCTGCGCCCTCATACATGAGAGGCGGGCCTTTTAACCACTAGGCCACCACTGACTTAAGTTAATTTATTGATGTATTCGTGTAAAATATTAGATTATTATATATGATTTGAAATAACTATGCTAGGACTAGGGAAATTGAAAATAAACGGATGATTAAGTCAACAGTGCAACCTGTCCGTGAATGAGAAAAAAAAGTTCAAAAACACAAAAAGATTTTTTGTCCAATCAACGAAAAACACAGCAGAAAAACTACTCGCGAGATGCAAATACAATACAATATGCCCTCCACGAAGATACGGGTTTAACATAAATGATGAAACTTTCTTTTAGGTATTAAAAACTATTTTTATTTAATAAAATTCATTTTATTCATATAATCATTAAATATTTCGTAATTATCAATATTTTTTGTTATTTTTTTACACTAAAATTATAATTAGTTTCATAAATGGGCACGTAATTCTATTGGGTTATATACTTTTAAGTCTATTTTTTTATTATTATTTTAATTTCTTTTAAGTTAACAAAACTTTCTGTGTGCCTCCATTTTAATATAGAAATGTAGTATTTCGTGTAAAAATTTAAATATTTACAACATCCGATAACAAATATATGTGACATCGTTAGTCCGTACAAAGACTGACATCTCAGTGTATTATGCAAGTCAAATTGGGTTTTTGTGATTTTTTTTACCAATTTCGACGGTTTTTTAGTTCTGAACTCTAATTTATTGTTACATTTGTCGGTGATGTAAAAGGGATAACAACTAATTTATGAATGGAGTTTAGATTTTTTATGACAATTTTATTCTTATCGGAGTAGCACGGGATTTATATAATAATTAGAATATGCAAGTTTTGGTATGGAATATATGAGAACATTCAAAATTGCCTTGGGTTATACATGTATAAACAAATAATAAAGTCGTGGTGGCCTAGAGGTTAAAGGCCCGCCTCTAATGAGGACGCGGATTCAAAACCTGGCAAGTGCTAACGTGATTTTTCCGAGTCATATGTACTTTATAACAGTATTTAGACACCACTTACGGATAAAGGAAAACATCGTGAGGAAACCTGGACTTATAATTTTCAATTATAAGTTTGAAATCACCAACCCGTCTTGAGCAAGCGTGGTGATTGCTCAAACCCTCTCCATGTGAGAAGAGGCAGCTCAGCAGTGGGCTCTGATAGGGTGATGATACACATGTATAAAATCTTATTAGAATGGAAAGTTCTCATAAGAATGTTTGTTTATTTCCAGGTGAATACCGCATCGGTCTTAAGTTCAACGAGCAGCACATACCGGACTCTCCATTCAAGGTGTACATTTCACCAGCTGTTGGTGATGCTCATCTTCTAGAAGTTGCTCAGTTTCCAGACTCAGCTCAAGTGGACAAGCCCACTCAGTTCTATATTAGACTGAACGGTGCTAAGGGTAGCTTGGATGGAAGAGTAAGTATTGATTGAAATAAATATACGACGAATATGAGAAAAACAAATTAGTATCGAAACAGATTAATGAAAAGTATGTTGAAATTTATCATTTAAATGTATCTAATGCAATTAAAAGGAATCTAAAGTATTCTAATTTCTTTTCTGTTTGGAATGAAGTTAAACTGAGTTTAACAATTAGTTATGATGTGTATTCTATAATAGAGATTAAAATATGTTCAAAAAATAGTTATTTATATAAAATCAGTAGAAATTCTTAGCGAAAATTGAAATTCTATGCATAAACATAAAATAAATAATGAGACCTTCGCGAGTATTCATTTAAATGAGACTAATATTATTCGGATTATTACGCAATTTTATTTTTAAAAAGTAACCGAAACATCGGCGTTATGTAGTTTAAAAAAATAATAAAATGGGCGTCGTATACGAATAATATTAGTTTCATTTAAAAAGTAAATAAGTATTAAGTAATATGTATTAGGTGTCTTACTTTTTATACACTACGTCTTTGATGTGCATTTCTATCATCAACTTCTTAATGAAATTTTTTCTAAACACAAATCCTTTTTACTATATAGAAGTATAAGTTCTTAGCCATTTTTTAAACCTTCATATAAATTAAGTTTGAAGTATGTTTAGTAGTTTTTTCGTAACAGTAACAGACATCCAACCTCACATACTTTAACATTTATAATATAATATTATAAGGATTTACCACAATATGTTAGTATCGCGTCATGAATCATGTATTTAAATCATCATAGGTTTGCGAACACAGACAATATTCGCACAGAGGGTCACTTTGATTTATCGTGTGAACATGACGGTCCGCTTATTAAAGATTTATGATCGATGGACTGTATGCTATGGTATTGTTGTAACGTATTTAACATACATTGCTCTGTGGACTAACTTTTTAAATAATGATACACCACAATGCTTAGACTTTACAGCCAACCAAAGTTACGCTGAAGAGTTGAGGTTTTATATTACCAATTACTTAGCCTTCAAATAAATTTTGACTGGCCTAATCGCCATAAGGAGACTATATATACTTATTTAATACATATTTGTCATGATTTACAATGAAATCAGTAAAGTTAGAAGCTAATATCTTAACCTGTGTCTTATTATTATAATTTTAATTATAATTTTAACAAAAACTTTTCATCATTCTTCATAACTAAATACCTTATGAAGATATCAACTTTTTGTATTCATTAAAAATAAATATAACATTTAAAACGTTGTAAGATGTAACATGGCTGATCCAATACAAAGTTTTCATACAAAAAAACAACGAAAAAATCTCATAAAACCGAGTGAAGGCACGTGACCGCAAGATATATCATGATTCATATTTTATAAGCTGGGGAGAAATGTGCTGTGAAAATTAATATTACATAAATATAGGGATTGTTCTTTTAAGGAAAATATACTTAGAAATATTACGTGTTCTAGAATAATATTGTTATTTTTATCATGTAGGTAATGTCCTAGGTTTTGTTTAATTTTTTCTATGGTACTAGTGAATAAGTTATTAAGAAAAAATAGCTTTTTTTTAACAGTACCATCGTTGTCTGGATTCAAATATAATTTCATTTAAAATATTAATTATATAATGTCAGGTCTTCTAAGTTAAGCGAATATTCGTTTGTTTTCTAGAAATTTAAGAAAATTTTAATTTAATGTGATTCATCGTAGTAATTTTCATATTACTTTTTAATTTTATAACGTAAGAGTTTCAGTTTATCTATTATAATATATTTTATATATAATTACAAAACATTTTAGTTTTTTAACAAACGCAAAGGTTTAACACGAAATATATACCTCACCAAAAATTTTATTTTAAGTTTAAAACCAAATATAGCTAATATACAAGAATTTACTATAAAAAATAAATTAAAGATATCATTGAAAATACTCGATAATTATTAATATTAATAAATATATGAAAAATGTTACTTCAAATAATAATTTTCCACCAGGTGATCTCTCCATCTGGAAAAACCGACGACTGCTTCATTCAGAACATAGATGGAGACCAGTACAGCATCAGGTTTATGCCAAGAGAGAACGGAGTACATAACATTAATGTGAAGTTCAATGGAGTCCACATACCAGCTTCACCTCTTAGAATCAAGGTGCTTAATATCACTAATTTAGTTCGCCAATCCATCTTGAGCAAGCGTGGTAATTAATGCTTTAACTTCTCCGTGTGAGAAGAGGCAGCTCAGCAGTTGGCTCTGATAAGCCGATGATGATGAATTTTAATTCATCTTTGTTAGTTATCAATAAACAAAAAATATGTCTAAATTTTTTTTTTCAGAATTTTATGCATATTTAAGTCATAAAAAACATTCAAAGATATATATAAAAAGACAAAATTTAGCTTTAATTTTTAATAGTATATAATGTATTGTTGTAGTATGTATATAAAGTATATTATAATATGAATGTACAGGTCGGGAAAGACGACGCGGATCCAGCTGCCGTACATGTTCACGGGCCAGGTGTTGGAAGTGTTAAAACAGGTCAGATATATATATATGTATATGTAAAACTAACATGACATACTCTAATATGTAATATACAATAAACAAAAAATTACATGACATAATGAGATCTAAGATTTTAATTAGTCTTATTCATTTAAATGAAACTAATGTTTTTCGGATACACTACGCGGTTTATTTTTGATAAAAACTACATACATACGTTTCGGCTACTTTACAGCAAATGTGATGTAACAAAAATTTGTAGCTTTTAATCAAAAATAAAATCTCGTAGTACATCCGATAAATAATTAGTTTCATTTAAAAGTATATGACAACCACAGCCTAATAATGAATATTGTAGGAATCATGATTAAAAAATAGCATACACTAAAATATTTATAAAATAAAGAATTACCATTTTTTTATAAGTCGGTTAAAGAATAACAAAGAAACTGAATACATTCTCACTCAATATAAACTTTATGTAATTATGAACTTTATTCGAGAAAAAAATAATTTAATGATACGAAAGTTTTTAAAACAAATATTGTGATCGTTGTGGCTACTTTAAAAAGCGTCACATGTTAGCTATTTTCATTTAAATGTTTAATTGTCATTTAAACATGAATTAGCTATTGGTGGTCATTAAATAAAATAAATAAATAAATAATAGTTTTCAAGACAGATCTTAAGATATATATTGAGATATATCTGCAGGTGCTAAGACGGACCTCATCATAAATACTTGTAACGCTGGAGCTGGTATATTGGCTGTGACCCTGGACGGACCCTCGCGAGTAGCCATGGACTGCACAGAAGTAGAAGAAGGATATAAGGTATATATAACTATTACACCTGACTTTGATCGCATTTTGATAGCTATTAGTTCGTTCTTATATGGTTAAAATTTAAATTATGTACACACTTATATTATATATGAATATAGTCAGTGGTGGCCTAGTGGTTACTTTACACCTCTCGTTGCCGAGGGCGCGGGTTCAAACCTGTCAAGTATCAATGTGATTTTTCCGAGTCATATGTACTTTCTGAGAGTATTTAGACACCACTGACATACGGTGAAGGAAAACATCGTGAGGAAACCTGGACTTATAGTTTCACAATTATAAGTTTGAAATCACCAACCCATCTTGAGCAAGCGTGGTGATTAATGCTCAAACCTTCTCCATGTGAGAAAGAGGCCTTTGCTCAGCAGTGGGTTCTGATAGGCTGATGATGACATACTTGTATTTGTGTATTGATTTGATTTAATAATTATCATATATATATATATATATATATATATATATATATATATACTTGTTAAGTTTATATACTTTTGCAATTTAAGCGGTGGTAATGATGAATTAATTAGAATTTTAATATAAACGAAATATATATAGTTATTAAAATAAAATGAAGGTTGAAAACAATTGCAATATATTTATGTAAATGAAGAACCAGAATATATTATTTAACTCGTGATACGAATGTACGGTTTCCTGTATATTTAATTCCAATCTTGTCCAATTAAGTTTAATTTAAAGTTAGTTGTTATTTTATAACGTTTGTTATTATAATAGCGTTTTATATAGTTTTGTTAATAGGTGCTTTAGAGAAGAATTTGATTTTAAAAAGTTTAAATATTATTACAACTAAATCTCAATAAATTTATAATTTTAGAGCATTTCAATTTGTGTCTATAGTTAATTATGATTTTGACCATGTATTGATTTTTACTTACTAGCTTTGTAAGTACATCCTATGTTTTTATACCATGGTATTTTCCTAACTATTACACTAAATATTTATCAAAAACTGTGCAGTCGTTCAATGTAACAAAGTAGCCGGTGTAATAACAGGCAACATTTTTGATTTTTATAAAAATAAATTTGAACATATCACTTTTGAATTTGCAGACAGGATTTTTGTTACGAGCCAAGAATTTTTGTTCAAATAATTAAAAACAAATGACTAAACATTTATAAATAAAGTAACTTAATATTAAATAAAAATTCCCAGCAAATAAAAATAATAATTACCGCAATATATCATCGATAAATCAATCAAACTCCCAAAAAAACTTATTATTAATAATACTGAGAATAATATGCAATCAATTTATTTTATTATTTATTTATTTGTCATGTTTATTTAAGGTCCGCTACACACCTCTGGCGCCAGGATTCTACTACTTGAGCGTCAAGTACAACGGAGCTCATATAGTTGGGTCACCATTCAAGATTGAAGCTACTGGTAAAATATTAAATTATATTCAAAACATATACATTATTCACAAAAAAATTGTTCATTTGAGTCATTTTAATTAAAAAATTAAATATCCGCCTTTCACACATGAGGGCGCGGGCTCGAAACCTGGCAAGTACTAATGTGATTTTTCCGAGTCATATGTACTTTCTAAGAGTATTTAGACCACTGACTGATGAAGGTAAACATCGTGAGGAAACCTGGACTTTATTCAAATTATAAGTTTGAAATCACTAACCCGTCTTGAGCAAGCGTGGTGTTTAATGCTCTAACCTTTTCCATGTGTGAAATGGCAGCTCAGCAGTGGGCTCATGATGATGATGACGATATAAAATTTATTGTTGAAATATAATGAGTACTGTAATAACATATTTAATTTTTCTATATCAGGTGAGAATCTCGCTGAAATTGGTGCTCAGGAGACATCATCAGTAACTGTGGAGACTGTTCAGAAGGTTTCTAAAGCGGCACAGAAGCAAGGGCCGGTGTTACCGCACTTCAAGTCAGATGCTACTAAAGTTACCAGCAAGGGTATGGGCTTGAAGAAGGCGTACCTCAATAAACACAATCAATTCACTGTTCACGCGGGAGATGCTGGTAAGTTGTGGCTAGATTTATGGCTTTTTGTGGCTATTCATCATATTTTATGGCTTTTTATCATATATAAAGCCACTAATGATAAATGGTTTCGGATGTCTATCAGATTAGAAGTTACGATTAAAAGATAGATACTTTTTTTTGCACTTGATATTTTTTTCATATGTTATTTAGAAGTATTAATTAATTTATTTTTCAGGTAATAATATTCTGTACGTGGGCATCTACGGTCCCAAGGGTCCTTGCGATGAGGTCCAACTGAAGCACAAGGGTAAAAACAACTATGAATGTTGGTACGTTGTCAGAGACAGGGGAGAATACATCGTGATCGTCAAGTGGGGAGATGACCACATCCCCGGATCCCCCTACAAAGTCGAAGTCTAGACTAATCTAGTCTAGACCAGTCTAGACAAGTCTAGCATCTAGTCTAGTCATGATCGCGTGTCGTTTTATTTCGTGGAGTACGCTGCTTTCTCGAATTGTTTTCTGGTTTAGGATTTGATCTCTAGTTATAAAAGGTTTCATCTTAAAAGCATTTCGACAATAAACTCACTGTTTTATATGTTTCTCGTTTAGTTTTAGGGCGACTAAATGACAATACATATGAAGTATTATTTTAAAAAATATTCCCTTTTAATTCTTAAGCAGGAAGATGTTATTTATAAGCCACTGAATGAGATGGATTCTTTTGTTTTGTTCTTCTACTTTTTGTTATAAAAAGTCTGTTTGAGGTGAAAAGAATTCGTCTTTATTGTCTTTGGATAAGCTGACCATAGATAATCTTTTTTCTTTCTGTGTTCGTTTTCTAATAATACTAACTTTTTAAAATCATTATGTATGGTCAGCTTCGCTTTTGTTTATGAATATCATCTTTTAATTCTTTAAGTATAAAGTATTTTGCTTTCTAATTTTGTATGGTTTGAGCTGTATGAAGTTTACCTACGTAGGTATAATGTCCCCTTTTATATTGTAAATACCTATTTTAAGTACATATACAGTAATGTATTTGCGACTGTTAACTAAATAAAAATATAAAAGTTTGATATGTGCTTTTCATTTCAAATTTATCTCTCTCTGTGTGTGTGTGTGTGTGTGTGTGTGTTTGTGTGTGTATTTGTGTTGGTGTAAGGGGTAAATAAAATCAATATAATTCTTGGCATAGTTGTAATTAATTTTTAATCGATTTTAAGTAACAAAAAAAGATTCCTTCCACTTTCGTATATCATAAACGGGACCGCTAGATAAAGCGAAACTATTTAAAAAAAATGAAATTAATTACAAAAATATATTCAATGATTACAATAAGTTTACACTTAACTAAAGAAAAACCATTACAATATCACATTTCTACTTACAATAGAGAGATATTGGCGATCTTTTAATCCCTTATAAATGAGAATTAAAACAAAACAATACAAATTCTCGGCCGTGTCCAACTACAATAATCACTAAGTTATCGGAAGAGATAAAATATTGCCCGTAGATTATAATAAAAACAATGTTTTTTTGTACAAGAACTTAAAATTAGCATTTGGCTAATAGTGACAGACGGCGTACAAGCCCCCAAGGGGCCGAGTCAACTAAACCACAACCTAACAATATCATTGAGACATCTCATTACACCCGACACATCCACCTATCACATTTATAACGCTAGTCAGAAATAAAACGAATTCGTATACAATAAAAATTAATCTACACTTCATAGGATTCTATGAGACAATTGGTTTGATTTAATATTGTTCACACATGATAATAAGTACGATAATATAGCAATTATATTGCTGTAATCTGGAATAGTGATGGCCAATTGTCCGATAAAATTATATCGATAAAAATGTTCAGCTGTTAAGTACATTTAAAACTTTTTACGGCCCATGTATAGGACGTAAATCGAGTGTCGCTGAAATTTAACAGAGATGTGTCCACTGCACGACCTTAAGTCTAAAATTGAGCATAAGCATGTAAGACTTAAAAGAAACAAAAAAAAAAGTTCAATAAATTTTTAAATTTCCTCAAAAATGTGTAAGATTATTTACAAAATATTTACATGAGTGCGTTTCCATCGATGGAAGTGAAAAAGCGATTTGGCCACGTCGTTATAAAAAAAATATGAAATGCACGTAGAAAATGTATTCAGCCTTCTGAAGTAAATACGTTTATGTGATATTAAAATAAAATATTTTTCTAACGAAATGATATTGAAATGAAAGATATTTGACCCATTTTGTCAGACGGATAGTGGCATCACAACCTTATCTGTAAGTAGATAGTTTATGTCATATATACATGTATATGTTAATCACAAATTAATCTGAAGGAAGACCACATTTTCTATATGTCCATGAATAACTAATAGTAGCGTAAAATAGAGAAATTATATCTAAGAAAATTTTTATTCGATCTAAGTAGGAACTGAGTGCAAATATGATGGTTTGAGAGATCTCAAAGAAAAATATTTAAAAAAATGCAACGGATAAATAGTGACGTTAAATGGAATTTGTAATTTATCGATATTGTTTCATCGATATTGCTACATCATTAATCGATCAGGAACTCTATTTTAGTAAATATATAGCTATTTGACAACAAAACTCTTGTATATACTATTGTTTATTGCGCGATCATAAAACGTGTATTAAAAATTTTATATATCGTTTTAAATTATATATATTTTTTCATTAACTTTCAGTACTTTTAGACTCATAACTAGGTACAGGTTAAAATGTGATTGTCCTCACCGAACATACAACACTGATTGGAGTTATATGTTTGTGTAAAGCTTTCCTATTATGCATTTAAACAATCTTATATATAATAAAGTGACAATCAGATTATTGCTTCCACATACCGATTATAAAGATTAGTTTTCCTAAAGGCATCAGAACTCACCTGTGACATAAACTTAACGTAACAAATAATTAATCTCTAGAAGATCATAAATTTCACAATAAAGTAAATACAACCAAATATCGTCTGGTAACTAACTGTGCTTTCATGAAAACTAATCGATAGTTAAAAAAAAAAAAACAATTTACATAATAATTGAAATCACATTTCATACCCAGTATAATAGTTACAACAACGTCTACTCGCGTCATCCAGTTTTATACAATATCGATATAAGTCCTAAATAAAAAGGAAACTTGAATTTCGCATCACTAAAGTCAAAACGAATATCGTATTTGATACATACCACTGTTCGGGAGCGAGATTCTAAACATTTTTTAATAATTTTTGTTTATTTTTTGTTATATACTAATAATACCATCATTAGTTCTAGTTTAAGTGCACCTACATACGGCAAGGGGGTTATTGCTTGTCTTTGTGAGCTAAAGTATGAGGGAGGATGTGTTCCGCGGGCAGCAGGGAAGGTTGGTGGGCGTAGTTCCTGATCTGATGCAGGGAGATCAGCTGATTGGGGAACGAGTTCGGCTGCTGCTTCCCTTGTTGGAAGTGGAGAGGGTCGTACAGATAAGGTCTCGTGGGCAGCGCACTGTGATGGGACAGTCCGTTCAAGTGAGGGGCCATCGAGTTGATCGGAGTGAAGGCGGAGTTCGCAGCTGATGATACGGGAGGCTGGATGCGGTCTTCCTGGCTCTCGTGCTGAGCGAACAATGCCCTCTGTTGTTGTAACTGTTGCTCGTGATGCTCGTCGCTCTCTCTCTGTTGGTGATAGCCGCCCTCGTCTGACATGTGTGCCGCTGAGTCCGGGCTGACCTTCGGCCAGTATGGGTGATCAGCAAATGGAGCGGCAGTGGGGGCAGCCGCCGCCAGGGACCGGTTGAGACCGCTCAGACCCAATGCTGATATAGGCGGCCGTTTGTCAGCTCGTTCCGCGTGTTTGTTCATATGTTTACTTAAGTACGTCTCTTGGGTGTAACTCTTGCCACAGTACTGGCATATGTGCGTCTTGAGATGCTTCGACTCCTTGTGTTTAGGGATGTGTTCGAGCAGGTCCTTCTCGTGTGTGAAACACTTGTAACATGAATTACATTTGAACGGTTTGTCTGTTTGATGACAGCGACTGTGGCTTTGGAGGTTGGAGAGCTGGGAGAAGGCTTTAGTGCATCCGATCTGAGTGCATCGATAAGGTTTGTCTCCCGTGTGGGTGCGGATGTGCTGCTGAAGATGAGACAGCTGCGTGAATTTACGCTGGCAGATCTCGCAGCGATAAGGTTTGATACCTAAGTGGATGCGGGAGTGTTGCGCCAGATACGACGAGTTCGCAAACGCCTTCGGGCACTGTGTGCATCGGTAGGGCTTCGCTTCGCGGAGATGAATCTGTGTGTGCAGCTGTAGGTCCGCCTTGGAGCCGAACACCTGAAAACAAAAGAAAAACATATGTTAAGTTTTATTTATTACGCAAAATCTTTAGTCATAATATACATATGACCAGATTTATCGGGGGTATTTTTTATAAATAGTGCATCAATATTTATTATTATTAAATGCACACACAAGTGGTAAATCCGTCCTTGAACGACATCCGCCGGTAACGAAACGAATTGCTTGTAGTTTATGCGAAACAAGGTTTTTTTATTTACTTAAGAGTCAAACGCGGTAATAAAGCCAGGATGCCACCTTCACGGCGGTTTTTCACGCATCTTGAGTAGCTGACTTCCGCAAAGTTAATCTACTGGAGAATTTTTGTAATTATATTCCAAACTAAATCACTATTAAAAAAACGAGTTAGTCACAGTTGAAGATATTATTTGTCTGACAAGTTGACTGTTCTCGATATCAAATCGAACGTATTGTGTTTATCTGTTAATATATTTTGAATAGTTGTTGCTAAAGAAGCTTCAAGCGCTGGAGATCACGCGTGCCAACGACGTGTATAATGAGAATGGCGCACAATCAAAGGCTGTTTCGGAACCGCACCGATACTCATTGTGATATTCTAAATTAGTTTCTGAACTAAAACCTCTGAGTCATCTCACCGAGACGGTTTATTCAGTGTCCAACAATGAAACTGTGGGCCACGTTCCTCCGGGCACCAGATTCTATTGACGAAACACGACTCAATTTTAAGTTCTCAACAACATTTTTTGATAGATTCAAATCAAAATTATATCTTGAGAACCAAGCAAATAAAACTCAAATTACATCATCAAGTATAAGTGTCTATTGACGAAAACAGTTTAGAAACGAATCAAATATAAAATGATCTTAATAATATTAGAGTTTATGTGATTTTATCTCTTCGTGCTATGTTTATAAGGGTGATTATCGCTGTTGTCAGTGATGCTGGCAGTGAGTTTCTATTTGACAGAGTTGCAGGTTCGGTAGCACGTTGCATGACTAGTCAGAATACGCAAACACGAACCCGATTGGTCACAGCCTGAACATAATTAAAGTTTGGAGCAGCACTTAATGGCATGAGGCTGGTAATTCGAGGTGGTGGTTGACTTTTAATAGGACTTCGTGAAGGATTGATTCACCGCAAAGGAATCTGTGTTAAATTGATGTATTGTAACAGCACCTTCCGCTCCATCTAAAATAGCTTCGGTTATTTAGAAATAGTCGTTGGTTGCCTCCAACATAGAAGTTATACAGAGTAGTGGGACGACAAAAAAAATATGAATCATTCGATCAAAATCGACCAATTCTAACAATCGCTAATGAAGTTATGATTTGTTGATATAAAATAAAATTAAAATAATAACCAGTGAATGTGCCGAGCGAAACAAATTAAAACAAAAAATATGATCAACAACCGACAAAAAAATAACACGAGTGTGTTATAAAAATACATTCAACTAACAGTGAGTTAAGAATAAATTAATATACAATCTCGGAATTCTTTAAATTATTTCTAAGACCAAAAAAATAAGTAAAAATTAATATTCTTTATATATTATTATTATTATTTAAAGTGCGGTTTAAAAACATTGAAGTTATAGTAAGCTCAGCTTGACGTATAATGATAGGGTGACATGGAATGCTTTGATTTGAAGGAGATAACTTCCCCCAAAGATGTTGTGAGGGTAAGGGATTAATGTCCTTATTAAGGACCGGACATCCATTATAACGTTTTAAACTGACCCTTAACCCGAAAAATTGCTAGACCTCAAAACAAACATGTCACGTTTATCTTAAATGTCCAAAGAGGTTAAGTGGGGCTTATTTTTTGACACTCCTAACTTGTTATGTATTTCGGCAAAGCGTCCACACTAACACTGTTTAATAAAAAAGTTCCGTTTAATCACACAAACAAATTACATTTCATAAATTATTTATGTTTTGCAAAAATACAAGCAAGATTTTAACTAATTTCCTTAAGGCCCCTTTCGGTAAAAACGACCACAAAAACTCGCAACGGACAGATATGGAGACCTAAAATTATTATTTATAGTCAGCATACATCCCGCCTATTTGTCTGCAAGGCTCAAGGGTCGCACTGTAATGAGGTTTTTTTGTCAAAATTTTGACTATTACGAAGGATTTGTAACAATATACGAAGTAAACTAACTAAAGTGTTTTCTTTGTCTCCAGTGTGTATGCAGCCTTACACTAAGCGTGTACACAACCTAAGATTGACACATTACATACATTTTTAAGATCCGCATGACAGGTCAATATGTGACACGGGTTGACAAATAAAGTTAAATGAAATTAATATTGTTACGAGTAGCTTCCTACTAATATATATAGATTTAGATTATCTACTTCAAAATAAATTCTTTATAACCGTTCGAGTTGGAAAGCTGCTTCGCAATTAATCGATAAATGTTAATAAAAATGAGTTTTAGAATTACAACATGTACAAACCCGTTTATTATATTTAAATACGTATTGTGGCGGAAACAGCTGCTACTGTTAGATAGTAGTTAATTTACTTTACTAAATTATTATAGGTTTATTTTTTATATAAAAATAGCTTAGACAAAGTTGATTGTATTAGTCTTAGAAATTTGCAATTGCAACTAAAACTAATTGCAAATTAGCTTGAGTTTTGATTCATTAAGAGACTTCCTTCTATTAAATCAATACCATTTAATCGATTTATTTCAATAATTATTTTATTTAAATCGATGTTTCTGAGAATTTAACAGTTTACGACGTGGTATATAAATTCATTTTTTAATATAACTGTACAGTTATTTTATAAAATGCATTGTATGAATATTAACGGAAACATTAAAATAATAATAAGTATAAACTTGAAGATATTATAACTAAAAAATAATAAAACTTCGTCTTAAAATGAATCCGTTAAATTTTAAACCTTGGTGACAAACATCGTCCAAAAAAAACTAAGCAATGATTAATTATTTCACTGGCAACATTGACTTTTACTTCTGTTCGTTTTTGTGCTTTAAAATTCCGTTTTACTGATACAAGAAGTAACCTCATACTTTACATGCTAAATTAAGCATTCTATACGTTAAAAAGACATTTTATTTCACAATTAATTTTCTATGACCTTTGTACAGATCATTGGTTTGGATAATTTAGAATTATAGGACTTATTATGTCATAGATAGAACGAATTAACCGACCTCTTTAGGCTTTTTTTTTAGCAAAAACCGTCAATGTCAAGCTTGGCCATGCGTTAAATATTGGCGCAACGATAGTAAAAAACTGGATAATTCAGGTAAATAGCAAGAAATCAAGTGTTACTAAACAAAATCGATTCAAGCGAGATCATATTTTTTTTGTTACAATAACCATAATTTGTAAACTTCAATGAGACTTATAGGTGTGGTGAAACAATTCTTTTATATGAATAGATTATACATTTTAATGTTAGGAGGTAAAATTATCTTAGTTGAATTTTAAGACAATATATCGTTCATAATTTGAATGAATTAAACAAATTATTATGATTTAATTCGTCGGAATAATATAAAATAATTAGTTATATTTAAAACATATAATTGGTAAGCAAATTGAGAATAATCTTAATAAAATTATAATTTTAGAAGTAATAAATATGAGTAAAATATGAGTTTTAAAAAGATAATATATGTAAAATTAAATATATATGTATGTACCCACATATATAGAGAATATTTGGAGAAGGAATAAAATAGAATTAATCTTAAGATTAATTACTATTACACCAAATCTAAGAAAATAATGAATTATTAATTCCGACTTCTTATTTGCACTATTGAACTATATATAAAAACCTTTACATACATAAGAATTATATATAATTTAATAAAATATTTATGGCATTTTCGAGTAAAGCTGAGAGATACAATTAGTATGTTAATTTATAATTCTTAAAGCTGTAACTGATTCAAATCTATAGAGCAGTTTGTATCAGCACGTGCCGAATGAAAAATCTATTTCGAAATAACTGTTTTTAAAGCATTGAGGTAAATCAGTGAGACCAAGACCCCAATAGGACCCTACAACTATCATTCAATTTTGGACCCTAAATTCAAATACATTAGATTGAAACGTAATATCTTACAATAGTTTTTTACTTTGTCACCCACAGCAGATAAGAAAAAGTTGGAAATCGTGCGCTTTGACAAAAAAACCATTTAGTATTGGCATTGAAGCCGGTTGGATCTGGGCGTGGAAATTCGTTTTGGGCGTCCAATTTGGCGCAAGTCTTAGATGTCTCCGGCTTTTGTAACGTGAAATCATATTTAATGCTGTTTATAAATTGGGAAAGATTACTGTTCTGTGACAGATAGATAGATAGATATAGATGGATAGATATAGATAGGTAGAGGTTTTTGACTGACTTAAAAAGGGAAGATTCTCAATGCTATTTCAATTTTGACCTTCCTTGTATTGGATAATATATGATGTTCATTATATATTAAGGGAGAAAAGCCTATACAAAAATAAATTAAAAAATCACTATCGATAAATATTAAATTGGTTAAGATATTTTTATTTAATTATTGTCGATGTCTTTAAGATATAAAATAAGTTTTTTTCGGAAGTATGTAATAATTTCTAATTATGTATAACATTAGAATACAGTAATATTACGTGTTTAAAATTGAATAAGCTTACAACTTCTCTACGCTAAGGAGATCTAGTACTGAATACAATGTTACTATTTCGATGGCTTCATACATACTTTTCTATGAATCCCCATAAAAAAATGTGAACAAAAGCCATTACCTACTAACATAACGCAATATTGGATCGATGAAACCCATCGTTAGTGGGGTTCCAGGATCCATTAAGATTTCCGCCCGATGTCGTGAGATGCGCGGGAGCATCATTATGTACAGATATCAAACGGCCTAAATACACCATATGAAGCGTAGTAAATTCGACCTTATTGCTCTGAAAATAAGGTTTGTTTTGGTTGTTTAAGATCTTAAATGGATTTGCGCCTACATTAT